AGAAATTTTTCACATATTTACCTAATACTTCAAATCAAGAGGTAAGGTGCCAATAAGAGAGAGAGAGTGAGTTGCCATTTTTATCACCCAACATAATATTGAAACATAACAGGGGCTTTTTTCCATATATTCATTCAAATTCTATGGAGAAATTCTACATTTCCGGCTTGAGGTAATTTTTTTGTCATCAAAAGACCGAAGACCGTTCAACGAAACCCATTGAACAATTCCAGAAGAACACTCACTGCACATCAACTTCGTTGATATTCTTATTTTCTTCAATAGTTCTTTGTTCAATGATTAACTAACACCAATTCAACACACTCAATACACGTTACAAGTGCATTTTCCAAATATTAACTGAGCTCAGAGTGAATCTTGTGGACTTTGGAGCGGGTGATTCCGATCTGGTTCAATGAGCTGTACAATTTTAGTTATTTGGAGCGCATACTCCTACAACATACAAATGATTTTCACCGAATTTACCTCGGATTCGACTTGGCAATCTGGGATATACCCAAAAGTATAATCGAATATTATATGCGCATTTCGAATAATTAACTTATGCATTTGCGATGGTTTTTTTTCTTCTGAACTTGACCATGATGTTATATACAAATGAGAGATAAAGTGCAGCCAATTCTGCAGACAAGTCCAACGAGATTATTTCTAAATATTAAACATACAACTGAGTGAATTTTAGTCTTTTTATTCCCACACGGTTATCATATACAAATAAAAATGCAATTATTCACTTCAAAATATTTTACTGTTCTCGGTGAGAACTTCTCGCTCAATTGATATTCTTTTTCCTCCGAATTCGAAAGAGACTTATACCATTTTCGAAAAAAATCTATTGAAACTGCAATGAATTTCGAAAGAGGTCTGGAAATTCAGAGCAAAGATGTTCATAATGTTCAATTCAAAGCAAGCACTTTCAATCAAAAAACTATGATTCGTATATTTAGTGACATAGTATTCAATGTTCGTTTATTCACACAAACTCAGCTTTGATTTCTATTTGATGAGTCACACAACAGCTGATTTCATGAATAGCGGCCGAAACTACAATCACCGTAACACACTGAATAGACATCAAATTGATCACAAAACAAATTGCGATTCGCTAGTAGCAATTCGCTACCACAGAAAGAGACGGAATGATAACGAAATCTCTGCTTGTAATGGCGAATATATAGATGCTGTGTGAGAGTATTCGTGTGTGACGCACATGTAAACATTGCGCAAAGAAACGGAGAGAATGAAAGGAAAAGACGATATGTAATGGGTATGTACGATGTGTTTTCGTTCTTATTTCGTCTTTCTCTTCGTTTAACTCGCGTTTATGTGGCCGCATGTGTTATATATTTACTTCAATCGTGCATATCGCGCATTTGTTTTGTCGTCCACTTGACTCGTCGAATTGAAATGCTTTAAACATGTAAACAACAAGAAGCTTGTCACACATTATCAACACTTTGACACTACGACCAACCAATACTTAGCGACTCTTTCTCATTTCAAATGACGAACTACTCTTTATCTTTCTCTTTTTCTCTTTCTTCAATCTTCCTCATTCATTCCATAGTTCCGGTTCATTTTTAATGCCAATAATATTGGCCCAATATATTGATAAATGGTGCGAGTTTACGTTTGCGAATCGGATTTGCTCTATCTCTTTCTTTTTTTCTCCTATCACCTTTTTATTTTCCTCTGCGTTTTTGTCTCATTCTTCACCGTTGCTTCTTCTTTTCATTCCTTATCTCCGCATTATTTTGTCTCATTTGTATAGATCAACCATCGGTGCATGCGTCATTGGTGACGCGTTCGTTGGTATTTGCTCACACTTTCGGTTCTGTTCCTCAAGTTCAGTGTTAAAAAGGTATTTGAAGTGGCCGGATGAACGTTGACATTTTATCGAAATTTCTTAATTGGATTAAAGACATTCTTCATTTACTTCGAAATTTTCAAGATTGAATTTACTTGCAGAACTCTACAGTTTACGAGTAAAACATAAAAATATTTGCTAAATAAGTCAATCAAGTTCATCATCCTAATCAAGTTGTCAAGTTTGAGTCACTCGCAAGTAAAATGTTACGATTTAATTTGTTAATTTTGTCCATGAGTTGGCTGAGTGGAGCAAGTATTGTGCCTCATTCGAAAGACGTATTTTCCAAAGGCACTTCTTTGGAGGATTTATTTTCAAACAATGCATGTGTTTTCGACGACAGTACAAACGCAGTGTGGTTAAATTGTGGCAAAAATGATGACAACCGAGCAAATAACTGCAATTCTTCGATTTTGACAAAAGAACGCCGACAAAAAGTGAAAATACTCCGTATAAGTGAATGTAGATCCACAACTGTGTTTAGTTTGATCAGTTCATTCCAGGATTTACATGAACTAAGTATCACATTCTGTGAATTGGGTTATTTGATTTATTTGCCGTTGCAAGGTTTACCGCATTTGAAGAGGCTAAACATATCACACAACAACTTGGCCGTCATACCGGAAGCGTATTTTGAAGATGCTTCACGATTCTTAACTGAAGTTGACCTGTCGTACAATCAAATTCGAATATTTGATTCGCTTGCATTCAAAGGAGCGAATAATTTGAACAAGATTGACCTTTCGCATAATATCATCAATAGCCTGAAAAGTGGAACATTCGTATTCACTCCAAAACTTGAGGAATTGAAACTCATTGGAAACAGTCAACCGGTAAAATTTCACGACTGTACATTTCCATCGGAGAAAAATGTGGAACTAAAGTCAACGGTTGACAAAATTAGTGAATTAAATGTTGGAAAAATGGATGAATCAAATGTGAAATCGTTAATTTGCCATAAGAATGAACCAAATCGATTTATGAAGTCGATTGCTGTTTATGTTTCTGAAGCTATATTTCCAGACTTTAAATGTGTACCATCGGGAGAATTTTATGCATCGTTGTACTCTCGAAATCCAAAGCTGTTGAACTCGAAAAATCGGACTCTTTTCAACGTTCGAAATCTCACATTTTTCAACGCCTCATTTCTACGTTCAAGTGAAGAAACGCAAAATATTCCAGCGAAACAACTTAAAGCAACAGAAAATATTTCACCGAGACTATTAAGTGAATGAACGGTGGAATGAACGGTGATGATAAACCAACATTTTTTGGAATGAACAGTGACGAATTTGAAACCGTATGCATCATCGTCATATCAGTGCTAATAGCTCTTTTCTTCATCTTCGTTGCACTCATCATTCGTGAAAGTTTAATCCAAACAAATCGACGTAAAGTGATTCCAATTAAAGCTTCGTGCCGGCCGCACAATATCGTACGCATTAAAGCAGTTGAAAATGATTATGTGTAAATAGTAAGGTATTTAGGCTTATTTTTAAGTAGTGCCTTTGCTTATCATTCAATGAATGTCATTCAGAAATGTGAGAAATGATATTATTATCAATACTCATTAGCAAACATAGTGGTAAATAATATAAAAATGTTGAGCAATTGATGATTATTTATTTAATTTAGACACGTTTAACTAAATTCTCATTTCTTAGTAACCAATTTACATTTTTCTCCATAGATCATGTAGTACATTCAATTAAACGTTAATTTATTTTAACAAAACCAATCATTTTTTCAAGTTAATTTATTTGAATTTTTCAATGAATCCTAATTGAAAAGGCCTTTTTGTGATAATTCATTCTAAAAGTACATTTAAACTGAGATTCCAATTTCTGTTCTGTCACTTTTAACGCATCATTACCAATATAAATCATTTTTCAAAGTTACTTTGTCGTGCGTTAGAGCCTTCATCGCCCCTTCAGCTTTGTTCTTGCATACAGTCAAACGCTTGCTTCATTCACTATTAGTCTCAATACAGTAGATGTTTGTGCCGCTACGATAAGTCGAGAGAACGGCACGTTGACTGTTTGCATTTCATTCACACGCTGCTATATGAATGTAGCAATCGCCTGCAAACGTGTAAGAACAGAAATAATGTCCAATCGTTATGCGCTTGTTGGTGTGTGTTTGTACGTGTTTGTTTGTCGCTTGATTAGCGTACACAAATGTCAGTCAGCATAGATGTTGAACGTTTAATAGAAATTTCTATACATATAAACGAAGTATAGCATGGATGGACATGAAATTGGATGTATTGGTGCGTAAATTTGACAGAACACTCAGTTTAAATTATAGCTGTTCCTACGATAATTTGACTTTTTCAGAAAACTTATTTTTTTACAAAATTCCATTTTGAAAATCTAGGGTTTTTGAATTTGAATTCGTTCAGTTTTTCATGACGAATGATGTGCTGCTTTCACTTTAAAGATTCCATAAAGCGTTTTGAAAGAATTGAGTAAAATCGCTCGTTATTAAGATTCAATCTTAATAACATATTATTAAGATAATTTTGTTAATAACGAGCGTTGACTAATCAATTCTTTCGAAAAGCTTTATGGAATCTTTAAAGCGAAAGTAGCACATCATTCGTCATGAAAAACTGAACGAATTCAAATTCTAAAACCCTAGAATTTCAAAATGGAATTTTGATAAAAAATAAGTTTTCTGAAAAACTCAAATTATCGTAGGAACAGCTATAGTTTAAATCTTCTTTGTTAATTTTGTGATATTTAGTTCTAAGTTACCAAATAAAGTAAACATATTTTGTAGAAATCGTATGTGTTTTTTTAAAGCTTACAGTTGTTCTTGAAGTAAATGATTATAATCTGAAATGTGCAAGAAAACAATCCACTTATTTTTTTTATTCCAAGCATAAATTTTATTTGATATGAAAAGGTACAGAATATTTAGAAAAGTTAGTTTTTGAAGACTTTATTATTTACAAAATTATGAATTGTGAACCATTTTTCGCGTCCGATGCAAAATGATTTCATTTGATATCGATTTTGGTAAATTACAAAAAATGAATTCATTGGTTAAGCAGATGTGCGAATGGATGACAAAAACCGACATGGGTCAACAGTTTTTTTCTACTAAAAACCACAATATCTTTAATCTTGAATGCCACACTCCTCATCGTGATCACCAGGTATAATATCACCGTATAGTTCATACAAACGCTCAAGTGTGCAACACTTTTGGCCGTAATTTAGTATTTCCATGGGCGTAAGATTTTCTTCGTTTGATTTTCTATAGAAAATTTGAATGCAATGCTCCTTATCGCCCGCTTCATAGAGTTCCATATGCACACTTGCTGAAAACGGCGGAACGTGTAACTGTAAAAAAAACAAAGTTTTTGTAAGAAAATGTCTTCATTTTTTAAAGTGTTAAATGAGCACAAATCACCTCGAAAAGTCCAAGACTATTCAACAAAGATGAAACTGTATAATCATGGGCCGAATATAGCCATAGTAAGCGATTTGGCTGAAGTGTTGAATTGATTTTCTGGGCAAAAAGTTCGAATATTTCTTTCAATAAGAATCCAGTCTGCAATCGTGCCAATTCCTTTGTTCCAGATGCCATTTTAAAATAGAAACTAGTTATGTATTCCATTGTACCATTTGGTTTGATTGCTTCTCGTGCCCAGTCTGGCAGTCTTAATAAATATTTAGATCATTTTTTACTTCATTTTGTGTGCTATTGTTGTGGTCGTTTCTCTAGATTTTCATTTATCAATTCGCCACAGCCACGACGCATGGCATCAGTGGGCGAATGGCTTAATATTTTCAAATGTGTATGTAATAGTACTCACATTTTGTTTTGGATACTTTCAATGTAAAGTGTGTGATACAAATTGAACACATCCAATATAGTTGTGAGATTTTTACCGCACATTTCCGACCAATGCGCAAATTCATCGGCATACTCCGTATAAATGCGTTGCACTTCCGGAGACTCTTTTTGATATTTTTCATGTGCAGTCCAAAACTTTGGACAATCTTCGGGGCCCCACAGTGCGTAATCCAATTTTATTGGCACAGTATGTACAGGTATTGGTTGCCATTTAATTGGATTGATGGATTTATGCCAAATTTCATCGTCAGTGGGTTCGAACAACGCTGCTAAGCAGGCTAATGCGCTCATAAGGGTTCTGTCAACATCCGACGATCTTACGTACACTTTATTGGGTGAATATTTATTGCCCAACAGTTCACCATATCTCCTTCGAAAAAATTGTCCCAGCTCGTAAATTTGCTGCTTGCCTTCCTATCGATTGATGAAAGTATGATTGGATTAAGAAATAGAACACTTTGAAAGTGTTAAAAAAAAAGTAATAACAGAAAAACTTACATTGGTTAGTTGGCCGAAGCCCTCGGGCCAATGAATTTCGTCCTAGAATAACATAATATTCGAAAATATTAACGTAAAAACCAAGTGAAATTTATTAAATTTTTGTAAATTATTTACTTTGTACGGATCATTTGGATAATTGAAATTGTTGATGTTCCGAATGCCATGTCGAAATAGCTTGAATACAAATTTGCACTGGTAATTCGTTTTTGTTCGTCAAGAACTGCGAATGAAAAAATGCGAACGCTTTGTGTTAGATTACACGAACGGTTCGCAGTTCTTATCAAACAAAAACTGATTAGCAGCAATTTCACATACACTGAATAACTGAAGTGAAAAGCAAAAACTTATTAATAAACATTTATTCAATTACAACGATTCCAAATATCAATTTGCTCGCATTCGTGCAACAAAATTCACTCTTCGGTTCTAAAACGGTCTGTTGTGATTGTGATGTTACGTTGAAATTCGACATAATCAGTAGTAAAATAACTAGAAAAAATGACCACATTTTGAACAACTAAATGATTTGCACTCTATGAAAGTATAGAATATACTGAAGCAAGCGAGATAATTGTATTCATACACACGTTGAGTCGTCAGTAATTACTATTTTCGTTTACTTCGGTGACATCATACCTGGTGATTACGACGTGACATTCAAGATTTTTTAAATTTTTCAATGAATACCCATTGAGAAGACATATAGTATTCTATATGTATACACCCAACACGAGTTGGGTATATTCTTCAATTTTGTAATATTTTCTTCTAATTTAGCGAACACAGACAGTTAAAATGTTTTGTAGAAACCGGATGTTCAAAAAACAGTTTTTTTTTCTTGTAGTGGTCATATCTTAAACCAACATTTGTTCTGTCCTTTGATAATTATTTGATTAGATTATAATCTAACGATACTGTAGTATTGATTCGACAAAGAAAGTGATGGAAATCGCAATACATTTCTATGGGTGAGATTGAGAGCGATATATGTAGACTTTGTATTGGAAAGAGTAGAGTATGTTTTCAAGCGTTAATAAATTCTTGAAATATTTCAATAATTTCAACAGATAAACGATGATTGTCCTTTGCAAACTTTTGCAGTTCGATAAGACCAACAATTTAGGCGAAGATACCAAATCGATATTTCTTGTCATGACATATCTCCATAAGGACACCCAATATCAGCAAAAAATATTTCGACTTTGTTAAGAAATGTGGACGTTCCCCCAACAATGGGCTTTGTCCCAAGCCAATCTTGAGACCTCAATACAAAATATCGTTGATTTGGTATAGAATGGTCGATTAGAACAAAAATCGCAGAAAGTCACGAGTGGAACATACTATCGAACAGCCACTGGGGAGATGTCAAAGTAAATTGTGACGACTACAGCGCTCTCAATTTCAAAGAGGGCTCATCACGGTAATTTACAATTTCCAATCGAAATCAAACAGCGCGCTAAGTTTGAAATATGGTGCTATTTCCTTCCCATGCATACTCTACTTTATCAAAATATAAGCCGTCAAAAAACATACACTACCCTCAATTTCACCCATATATTGTAATCTTGGCCCGTTGTTTAGCTTCAATTTGAATTTTTACATAACATTGTCGTGCCCTTTGAACTTGAGCGGTCTAGTTACCCGTGTGAAAAAATAGTAACTGAGCAGTCAGTTAACTAATTTGGGACAAAAATGACTTACTTTGATTGACATTTCAGTACAAAGTGTAGTGTAAGTCTATCATAGTTAACTGAAATCATTTGAAGTTACAAGTCAATCTAAGTTGCTTCATTTGGGACCAAGTGATTTTCTTAGAACAAAAATATAAATTCAATCAACTAAAGTCAACTGAAGTTATAGTCAGTCAGTCATTTTTTTTTCACACGGGTTTTTTCACCTCTCAACAGTCGCCATATGATGTGAACAGAGGACAGCGAAAACTTCAAAAATTATCAATTTTTTCATTATTATGATAAGAAACTGTTCGATTTGAACATTCTTTTGGCTAGAAAGAACAACGAGCGCTCGTTCGTTCGTTCGCACGCGAAAATGTTCGCGGAAAAGGCTAGCGGTCATAAGTTCCCAAATCCATCCATCCATCCATCCATAAGTTGATATATCCAGACTTGCCCTCAATTCCAGTTATACGAATTTTTGTACATGGATCCATCCATAAATCCATCCACTCAATATCCATTGAACATCCATTGAATGTCCATTGAAGATCCATCCAACATCCATTGTCCATCCATCCATCCAATCATCCATCCATAGAATTGAATGGACGGATGGATGGATGACTGGATGGATGGACGAATGGATGGATGGATTTGGGAACCGCTAGCCTTTTTTCGAGACTCACAATTTATTTTAAAACCATAAAATGCACATAATTCATATTGAATCGTAAAGAGAAATGAAAATACTATAAGAAAATGCTTACCCGACTCCTTTTTCAATGCTAAATAGTCAATTTTTAACGATCGGCAAGAAATAAAATGAAATGTGTTCGCACAAAAATTCACGGTCGTTTTGGAAGTGTATCAAAACAAACGTCAGTTCTGTCGAAACAAGCCTTAAAAGTGATCATGCATTAAAATAAGACTTTGACAGTTATTGCGATGGCAGTATTATCACGTATAGTGAAAAAAAAGTAACGATTCTCAACCTGCAGCAACGTCCCCTACCTAGAAAATAAGTACCTAGAGTCTGGGATACATAAAACAGAAAAAAATTCTGCCACTGTTGCATTTTGCACCA